AGAAGAAGAAGAAGAAGAAGAAGAAGAAGAAGAAGAAGAAGAAGAAGCAAAAACACATCAGAACCAAAAGCATGGGCTCATGTTCAAGAATGTGGTTGTATTTCTCGGCTCTGTAAACTCGGTGTGCATTTGCTACTTTTTGACGCCTAACATATTTCGAATTGTGCTTAAACATGCAAACGATTAAGTTTAATTGACGTTATGGTGGCAAAAGCAAACTGACGTTTGCGCTGCAAATGGCCGTCACTTTCTTCCAAATTTTCAATGGTTTTCATTCTCAGGGCGTCGATTGTGTATTGCTAATATCAAGACGATTTCATGGCCGTTTATTCATTATTTTAGTGCATACAATCGAAAAACTCTTCGGTTCAAATGTATTTACGTAACCGTTGCATCAGTCGATTTTAATTGAAGAATTGCATTTCAAATTCAATTGAGATGAAGACCTATTAACTTATTAATACGCATAGTTTTGCATTGAATATTCCACTTGTACAGTATCAATCTTGGCATATTGGGCAAGAATGCACTTTTGAAATCAGAATTTATTCCTTCAAATCGAAAATGATTGAACGATTTACGTCAAACGTACAATTTTTTTTTGCAAACTTCGATGAATGAATCATTTCGCTACCAATGGATTTCATATGGTGTTAGTCACATTGTCAAGAATTTGAAACAGAGAAATTGGCTCATTTCTATTCTTAATCATTGATGCCGATTTTCACTCCTTTTTTCCATTTAATCGGAAATTTAAGAAAAGTATGTGAAACACATCGTTAAAACAACATCATGCTCCATGATTGCTTCGATCGTAAATCAGGCAGTTTTGCAATGACGCACATCATAAACAATGATATTTTGTGGTTGGAAATGGATCCAAAAATTGAAATGCTGTGCTAAATTAGTGGAACGTGAGCAAGATGTTTCGTTCCGGAAAATAAAACCACAAATTTCTGGATGCATCGCTGTGATTATGAGAGCGTGAAACAATCCCCCCCAAATTTGACGGATGATGACAAACTTAGCTTCAAACTGTCGGTAAATAAGAAAATTGTCTTCAACGTCATTAAATATTCATGTTCCAATGGCTTCCCGCAAGATGTTACCGAAATGTGCACATAAGCCTGTTTGTATTTCCATGATTACGATGTTCGACATTCAACCCAAATATGTCACGGAAATATGACAATATATTTTCCAGTCGCACTGTACTTTGGCAGCGAAATTCACTGCATTCGAGCCGACCAAGAAGTCGGTTCATTTACGGTTTACGGTTCATTTTTAGCGGTTTGAATTGCGGCCATTCAATTACTATTTACGTGCAACCTACAAATTAATTCCATAAATTCATCACATTCGAGCATCCAATATAATAATTATTATATTGTTTTGAAGCTTGAAAAACCTCCCAGTGGTAACCTCCATCGGAACGAAAACGTGTTAGGAGAACAGCGAAATAAAATACCGAAAAAAGACGATATAAAATCGCTAGCATTAAATATAAAACTATGTTTTCAAAACCGTCCAAATCCGTTCAATCTGCCTCGCACCGATGAAAAAAGCTGCGAGTAGATAAAATCCGAAAACAATTGCATTGTTATGTAATGCGTCGTACTCAGTGGATGTTTGAAAGTATATCTGAAGTGCAATGCAAATGGAGCCATTCATCACTGAAAGGCTCTAAGAGCGCACTATATAAAATACAGAAGCCGAGAAAAACCTAAAGTGAATCCAATACGGAATCACAAGCAGCAGACAACAGCGTTTAGCCTGGCACATTAGAGCGCATCGCTTGCATATGTATTTTGTGTGCAGTCACCGATTAAAGTAAACGTAACTTGTTTTTGGCTCGCGAAGCATTTCATCTACCATATAGGAATGCACTCAGACAGGAGCAGAAAAATGTGTGTATCATTGTATAGTATAATACCTTTGTTTTTATTTATTTTTTACCCTCATATTTTCACTTGAGCGTACGGGTTTTTCTCATTCCTAGGCTTTCGTTAGTAAAACTATGTGTGTGTGTGTTTGTATTTACATAGAAATCTTAATGGAAATGAAATAAATTGTATTTGGTGTATGTGCTTGCTGTATAGTAGTGTGGAATGGGCCGCCATGCATTGCAAGCTCGAGGGGGAGTCTAACTGTATATAAAATTACAAAACTACAAAAACAACTGTATGGCAATGTATATTAAATAATCGAGTCAGGCGAATGTTTATCTTTCGTAGATGTGAATTGCAGTCACAGAAAATCAGTGCAGCGCGCGCTCGCGCGCGCGTACACAAACCGACCAAGATTCAAATCAAACCGAAATAGACGTTTATAATTGCATTTTGCATGTCATTTAGATAGGCTTTGGATGTGAGTTTAGACACAATGTGAGCAACCGAGACAGAGGCACACAGAGAGAGAGAACGAGAGAGGGAGAAAGGTATAGAAACAATGACTATGCTGCATTCTAGAATGATTATTTTTTGCACTTTGTAGTCATTGACGTAGGTTGTAAATGATTCGTTTTCGGCATCGTAAACTTGGTGGATGAACACGCCAAGAGAATGATTATTGCCGACGTGTCGTTATTAACGTAAAATAATATGTATTCGAAATGTTTCAATGACTCCGACACCAGTGAGCATGTATATGTGTGTTTTCACTTTTCCCTGGCTTCATGTCGCACCGTCACAGCAAAATCACTGCGTATGAGTGTGAGCATTAGCATTTGAGGCCGCATTCCAAAACGGATATGTTTATTACTGTCGCACATTTGTAGGCGCATTGCATTGCATTTGCCACAGATAGTTTAATTAGAAAATGGTTCCAGGTGGTTTTCCTTTTCTCCTCTTCATTTCTTGTTTTACTGCGTTTCAATTGGCAACATTTGTTTATTTCGACTTCGTTTGGCGCGGTTTTATTCATCGTGTAAAGCGATATTTTCATTAAATTACAAAATCAAAACTAACGTAATCGTAATTTGCGTGTGCAAATACGAGAAAATTAACAAAATCCGTCATGATGCATCATGGGTTAGCATGCTAACTCTATCTCTGTACCACTCTGCCTATGCTCTTGCTTCGTTTCGCATTCGAAATGCAGTGGCGTAAACAAGCTGCTTTACAACCACATTCGAAATGTGCATCCGCTTCAATTTTCAATTGAATGAACTCAACACGTTGCTGTTGTTTTGTTTCCCTCATCTCTTCTCGCAACG